ACTGTGAGAAGAAGTTTGGCACTGTGAGAAGAAGTTTGGCACGGTTGGAAGTCAACAAGAACTAGGAAACAACAACAACTAAAACTAATACTGCAAAAGAGCTATCAAGGAACAAATAGATTTTGATACAAAAAAAGAAGATACGGAGAAAGGAGAAAAGATACTTAAACATGATGTCGATTGCAGAAAAGCTACAACGCTGATACACATAAATACTTTGCATGAAGGGATAAACTTAAGGGTAGAGGGAAAACTAGCCGGTTGCTTTACTTATGTGCTCCTCTGAGCGTCAATACAGACTATAAAAGTAGAAATTATTATTGGTTGTAGAAGCTGTACTTTCCACACTGCTTTTGTTGAAATGGAAACCCTTGATGTGTATGTTTTTGCCGTTGTGCGCTACGCCAGTGGGCAACGTGTAGGCCCCCCACTTGGTTGTCTCCCCAAAAACTTTGTTGGGCACATGCTGTAGCGACGTTGGCCGCATATGATTGAGTTAGAGCCCACCCTAATCCATCTTGAGACTCATGATCTTGGAGCCTTTTCTCCCTTGTGGAAGAGCCTCAGGAGGTTGCTTCTGAGGATGGATTAGGGGAAGCCTTAATTGAAGTCGTGCCCAGGTATGTGGAGAACGTCCAGGCTATGGAATAACCCGTTTTGATGTCCGTCAGCCGCGTCGTGCCCATAGACATGGCCGTCGTCCAAATGCTGCACAGGCAAGATGCGAGGCGTCGTTAGCTGTTGTAATGTAATAACATCGGTGGTGCACGCCTATCTAGGAAACAAAAAAATAAAAGAATCATTTAAACCCAAATGTCTATAGAAGAACTATAGAAGAACAAAGAAAAAAGGTTTCGAGGATTAAACTCGAGATCGAGCAAGCGTGGACGTTTATAGCTGTAAAAACAGTCATGAATGAATGAACGAATGCACCCACTCCGTGGGTATAAAAGACGACTACGCACTACTTCCGTCTACCTCGCGCCTCATGATATCTCACGAGCTCGACCCTCTGCAGTTCAACAGTAGATGACTTTCGCGTCATAGTGAAGGTGAGGAGTATGATAAATGAGGAGTACTCGACAAGGAGTATCGACTACTAACTACATTGCTATCCATTCACCCTGATGCGAGCAGCAAAGGAACCCTTTTATACAGGATGACGCAGCAAAACAAGAAAGACCATGAGCATGACCGATACAACCATAGGTGCAGGTGATGCATAATTCAAGCCCAAGAGCATTGGCCTCGATCAAGTCAGGATGCCACGCGCACCGACATCACGAGCCTTATGATGGCGATGTAGATCTGTGCGGCGTCACAGTCCACTTCGAAAAGCGCAGCTAGGTAGGGAGTCCACTGATTAAGTATAGACACCGTAGGTCTAGGTGATCATGCATATGCATGCATACCCATCAAATATAGATACCGTAGGAGATGCGATGGCTCGATGATCCGCCTGTACTCGGTGGGGCACCCTTGGCGACATCGGCTCCGGCAGATGCATAGTTAGACCCGGAACACCCAACATGATCCTTTTCGTATCTATTAGGACGCAGGCTGCTCCTCTTGAGTAGGTCGTTATATAAAGACCAAGCAAGAACGAATTATTCTTCTAACAATTTGGAACAACCACCAAGGCAACTATTTTGACAACTATGTTATTTCTGAAAGAGAATTATTTGTAGAAAGAAAACTGTCCTCGAACAGAACGCTCACAAAGTCGTCCTTGCAACGAACGGAGGAGGCGGGCGTTCACTTCTATCTACTCACCTTCTAAAATTCTCAGACAAGTCGAAAAAAAATTTGAAATCTAAGAAGCGATGGGAATGCCGTAACAGAGCCGATGAGAAGATGCAGAACCTGTCTGAGGTTGATAGATACGCTAAGTAGTTCATGAAAAGCAGAGGCTTTCACCATACTGAGAAAGTCTAAAGAGAAGGATTCAAAACCACATGTTAAACAAATGCAGCTCTCTGACAGATCAGGTAAGAGGCCCAGTGACCATAGGCAAACCGAACCGCCGGCTGTGACCTCGAAAATAGATTCATCTTGAGATTCAATCTCTAGACAGATTCGGACGCATCTCAAAAATAGATTCTTGAGATGATTCTTGAGATTCAAGCTCTAGACAGATTCGTAGATGGGAGAGCAGCAATGTCAGAGTTGCCACTATTTTTCACCCATTTTTACTCTCTAAAAACAGAGATCAAAGACAGCCAGGATGTTGACTCCACTCCAAAAACTACAGACAGCATCCATCTCAGATATACAACAGAATTTAAGACACGCAACCAACCTAGCTTCAACTTCTCAAAAAAAGCCGATGATCAAAGCCGATGATCATTCAACTTCTCAAAAAAACAGATGATCTCACTGCCTCTCCGGTGCAACACGTAATATATTATAATATCTCCATATTTTCTGAGATCATCTTATGGATGATGTCTTGACGACTACAATTGCTGTGCCGCATGCGAGGAAAGGAGGACGAAGTTTTGCTACTCACAAGGAAAAAGCGAACCGCAAGCGTATCAGGGAGTGAGCGTTGGTCAACATTTTGATTCTACCAAGGACCATCCTGTTGCTCAGGAGGATCAGTTGCAGAGCCAAAAAGTTCATTTGTGTTGGTTATGTGTGCTTTCCTGATGTGTGTCCGGGAATGAAAATTTCTCTGGGGATCTTCGACTAAGCTAAGCAACCGCTGATGGAGATGGGGATCTCTGACTACAACTGTGCTAAATAGGTCGGAAATAAGCATCCATGTAGACTTTACAGAGTTTTTTCAAGAAACATTGTTTAGTGAGAAATACAGTTATTAGTGGGACTACAAAGGTGGAAGTAGTCTTTTGATAGGTCGCAAAGAATGAGCACTACATTGGACTATGCTACAAGCCTTAGTACGGGGATCTTCTTCGACTGCTTATTATGAACATCAATCACGCACAAGCCAAACATCATATGCAGAGCTACTACATGACCATGGTCTGTCGATCATCATCATGATCAGTACCATTGATACCGCTGAGACCACTGTTGCCAATCATTATGACAGAAACATGTCGTTTCATGGGTACAGCTACTGATCGATGAAGAAATATCATGAAAGGTAGAAGCGTCTAAAATCCTGTAGAAG